ATCTTATTGCATCCCATATTTTCCGTTCATATCAGCATAAACCCACGAGTAATGGTCGTTCTCTAGGTCATCTGCGCTGTAGAAAAACCAGAAACGACTTTTTACGAACCAATAAATGGTTAACATTTCTCGCCGAAAACCGGAAAAACGCTTGCAGTCAATAAGAAGACGCTACTAATACCCCCTTTACACTGGACGGCGTCCTTTCTGCGTCCTTTCTGCGACCATGAAATTTGGCATCGCTGTGGTCTTAATAAGGAGGCACGAGCATTGATTTGGTATCAGAATGAATGCTCAATGGTCGGCCAGTTGTCGGCACGTAAAGTATTATAATTCTTTAACTCTCAAATGGGGCCGAACTGCTGGACGCAGAAGGGACGCCGTCCAGTGTAAAGGGGGCTTAAATGAATAAGCACCGGGAAATGACAACGGCTTTTGTGGTCGCCGGGGTTTCTGAGCACAAGTGCCTCCAACAGGCCTGGCCAAATGATAAGATATATCATTTGACTACTAGTACCAAGTACCATCAAAAGAAAGCCAGATCCGTTTCTGAAATATTGGATTTTGGATCGACCTTTGAGGGATAATTTCTCGATTTTTTTTTTTTTTTTGTTCTCAGTCTAAAATTGCAGAGATAAGTTCAGTAAAAGGGGCGTCCTTCTATAGCTTCGATCTTACATCTTATATTGTCTGTTACGAGCCATGGGCTTCAAACATTGACAAAGTCTGGTCATGCACGTAAATGGCGGGACTATACAATCTGCTCAAAGCGTGCCATATACAACAGAGATGCTTAAATGAAGAGAAAATAAAAATGTAGACGTATTTTTGAAGAATTAGTTAAAACAATAAAATTGTGACACAACACCACTAGGGGGAAATGTAGATTTCTCATCAAGTGCAAAAAATGAGCCCGTTCCGTAGCTTTTCACAGGTTATAGAGTTTTGATTTTAAAGCTCTTTCAGAAATGGTCTTTCTTGAACCCGAAATTATCTTCCAATTGTCAATTGACAAGCATCTACATACATAAGAGCTATAACCTAGTACTGCAAAGAATAAAACCACTGCTTGTGTCAAAGTTTTGCGTCCATAATTTTAGCAACATGCTTTGCTTTTGTCTATAGCTGTCGCTTCACAAAGACAAACCTCTTTTTATTCTGATACATTGATATATACTGATACACTGATAAACAAACTATACTTATATTTTAAGAAGTAAACAGTTAATGAGGTTATTCTGTGTCCCCAAGCCTCCTTTGTGCGATGCACTGCAGTTTCGACTTAGCGAGATTTGAATAACAATGATCTGAACGTTAAGACCAATTGTGAGACAACAGCCTATGGTCCTACTTTTAAGGCGTAAATAACTAATTTCAGGTTAAAAATGAAATTCCACTTATTAAGTTTTTATACATTTCACTTATGATTAAATGAGTGATGTGTTTTTGGTAAAAACGGCGTATTATCTTAATTCTTAACGGATAAAGCTCCTCACATTTATTCGACTGCCATAGATCCCAGTTGGAAGAGTTGACTCTTTGAACAAAATGCGCTAGTTAGACTGAGTAAAACATGAATTTAAGGAAAATTCTGAAGCATCGTTTTGTTTCATCTCCCATGGTTTAATAGCAGCATTTTAAAAAATGAAGTTGAGAAGTGCCCTGGAAAGTGAGGTATCAGAAACAGGAAATGTATTTTTTTTTCTCAAAAGGAGAAATATGCTGCTGAATCAGTCTGTAAGTTGTGTGGTCGCTGAAGGGAAGTTAATAACTGTATGAATATTGGAGCCTTAATTAACATGTTTTAATAACCACTTGAATAAAGTAAAAAAATAATTTTCTGTGTATATTAAAAATCACTGTATCTAGACGCAAGACGCAAAAAAAAAATCATTTTAGTCATATCCCAAATAATACCAGACAATGCCATTTAAAATTGTGCGCCTCATACTCGTAGACTTACATATCTGTACAAATAAAAAAAAAAAAAAAAAACAGCGAAATCCGCCTTTTCACAGTATGTACATCTACAGCGCGTGTTTTACACGTATCTAAAACAGATTTCGCTTTAAGGGAGGGATGTAGGTTGGCGATTTTATCTTAAAAATAACGATCTTAGCTTTTTTTATTCCTGTTACATTCATTTAATGTACCTTCAAAACATGTAATAATGCTCGAAACACGGCTCCAAGTTCATCGTGTGACTTAATATTGGGATTTTTTTAGACAAAAACATCATTTTCAGTTGCTTGTTTTTCTCAGGCACCTGGACAGCTATAAACATGCTTTTAATGGTATTATGACACTTGAACAAAGTACCACAAAGGGGGTTCGGGGATTTTTCTTTAAGGACTTATTGTTGATATTATCTATAAAAACTTGAAATTACATCAAACTATTAAGGAATTTTCACTTTCAAAGTCAATAAAAATGGAAAAGAGAAGATCAATCAAAAATAAATAAAAAACATTTCTGGTGCATACTTTTCTTAATAAGCATGGTGAATTTGGTCTCCCTCAGGTGTACAGGTAGACAGTTATAGCTCGAACCGCTAACGGTATCTCGTCAATCTTGAAAGCGCAGAAAACGAGCAAAAATCCTTTCAGAGAGGTTAATTGCCCAAAACAGCAAATTAAATTGTTGACAGCTTTACCGATATCGTACTGACGATTGCAAAGATGGGTCCTCTATAGCTCATTGAAATTAGCTTGTTTGCATGCATTTGGATGTCAGAAAATCTATTTTTTTTATTAATCTCACCTCCTGTTAGTAACTTCAAGGGGTTACCGCTAGCACTGTCAAATCAGGGCATTTAACTGTTAATGATGCACAAACTAATAATTGCAGATAAGCCGAAATTAGTATGAAATGTTAGCAGACTAGAGCTTGATGTCAATATTCCTGACTCTTGCGTTGACTGCGTGACAGGGCTAGAGGCTAATCTCACCGTCGTAGAACCAAGTAATCACAAGTTGTCAAGTTAAAAATTTGATTAACACGCGCCTCTATGCTAGGCAGATGGCCCAAGTTGGATAGATTTATAAAATCTGACGACTGCATAGAGCTGTTGTCGAAGATTGAACGATAATATGACGGTTGTTGTCACAGGTAGCAAGCAGCGGAATGCTCTTTTTTTTCTGCGTATCTCAAAATGTTAACAAAAAAAAATCGAAAGAGCACGTATAAAAACAAGCAATTCAAAGGTAAACGCGTATTTCGAGCAAATCCAATGTGTTGGAAAAGATTCTCTTTAGCACTGATCACAATCAAGAGCGACTATCAAAACAGCTTAAGCGGAACAATGGGCCGATCGCTATTTATGACAAAGGGAGTATGACGCATCCCTGTTCTAATGTTACTCGAGTCGTGCTGATGCTGCTAAAGTCTGCCCACCGAGTTTACCCATGGCGGGGCATACACCAGGGCACCGGTGCCGATAAGTGCAGCATCAAAATCCTCAGAAAAAAATTTTTTGTTCAAAATGTAAAAATGTTAAACGTTAGACAGATACGAGTAATTAACCAATAATTAGACATAAAAACCCCAAAATGGGTGATTTTTAGCCCCATTTGGGTAAATCAATCCCTTAAACAAGCAGCTTTGGCCAGGCTTCTTTGGCGCCAATTTTGCACACATGAGAAAGATGTGCAGCAAGTTCGATTGAAATAAACTGTGAAATAAACTCCAATCTAAAGGCACCAGAGTAATTTATTTCTTCATTTGTAATGTGTTGTTGCAAAAGTAACATGTATACCAAGGCAGTGTTTGCCAAGCTGAACAGGTGTCAGATATAAAATATTTAGAGCTATTTACCATGCTTTGTTCAAAGTGCCAGACATAGCAAATGAACGTTA